TATATATATATATATATAATAATATATATAATATATATATATATATATATATATATATATATATATATATATATATATATATATATATATATATATATATATATATATATATATATATATATATATATATATATATATATATATATATATATATATATATATATGAAAACCATTTAAAGCTGGAAGATATATACTTAGGAGACTCTAGCTTTAAAACCAGGAATAGACTCGACAGGTAGGGGCAAGCACGATAATCAATGATAACAGTTAAGTGGAGACAATCATCATAAGGAATACGCATCTAAGGTCACAGATCACTTTCAAATCAATCATATCATCATCCAATCATCATTCATACAAGTACACTTTGGTGGCGCCACGGGACCAATCGCATGCCCCGAACATGAGGGTTAGTTCATATAGCACTAACACGGCCCCACAGCACTCTACCTCATACCGCAGCATGAAGGGAGTTGATCGCAACCAACCCTATAGACCGCTGACAAACTTAGCGGCGGACCACAGTCCTACACACCGCTAACGCGCTCAGTCGGTGGACTGTGATCCTCTTTACAAGGGGGGACTACGATCCTACACAACGTTGACGGGCATAGTCGGTGGATCGTAGCGAATCAAGCCCTGCACACCGCTGAGGGACTCAGTCGGTGGGCGATGATCCTCGGAGACTACGACCCTATACACCGCTGGCCCATCACTCGGTGGATCGCAGCCAGCCGTAGCCCTACACACCGCCTGATCGCTCATTCGGTGGACTACAGCCTTCCTCGGGCTTATTGGCCCTACACACTGCCTGGCGCGTCCAGGTCTGTGGGTCATAGCACACGAGGCCAATGTGGACCGCAGCCCAAGAAGTGAATCACTGACCGCAGCTAGGAGAATGAACTGCAGCTCATAAGTAGCCAAACAGTGGACCGCAGCCCTATATAATATTTGTATACCTGACCGATCGCAACTGGCCTAGTTAACAGTTGGTATGGTTTTCAACCCATCCAACTGCCCGTATAGCCAATTTGATCGCAACCAAATTGGGGAATCATGCAACACATAACACATTATAGCACATAACAACACATTGGGAAGGGGAGACGTATAAATAAACTTACGTGTGATCATTCACATACTAAGAGTAGTCCTAAGGGGTTCATGCATTTTCCTCCTAGGCCAACTGGTTACCGATTCACTAGCATGCAATTCCTAAGAATCTTCTATCCTATGAATGGCACCCAAAACATCAAACTAGACTCAAGCACGACAAACGGGGTCCATTGGGACACCACGGGGAAGGGGGAACATCAAACGGGGAGGCTAAAGACCCGGGGTGGGTGACAAACCAGCGGGTAGCCGGTGGGTGGAGGGCCACCCGCCGGCTGCCCGCCAGCGACGAGTGTCCGGGCAGCGGGTGCCCGGCGAGCAGACGACTGCCCGCCGGCTGCCCGCTGCCTGGCCGTCTCTCTTTGGGCAGCGGGTAGCCCTACCCCCACCTACCCCCCACTGACTCTTTTATCAAATACGCATCTCGGGATTCTTTGTGGAACCTCAAACCATGCTTAGACACTTTTAAACGCAATTAACGACACCACATAGGCATTTAATGGATCAAAAGCAAGAATCATATTGAACACACCCTAACATGACTTCTAAACATAAACAACACCCGAACATGAGAATTCCCACCCAAATATAAATCGAGAACATCTCAATACAAATTCCCAAACCAACCTAGGGCTCTAATCACACCCAAATCATCAAAATCATATTTGATCGTCATTATCAAGATTTATCAAGATTTATCAATAATTATCACATAAATATCAAGAACCTCTTTTTAACATCAAGATCACTCATAAAATTATCACATCAATCAATCAAGATTATATCACAAATATCATAAAGAAATTCAACAAGACACAAGTATATAGAGGGAGCCAAAGAAGGAGATCATAGCAAATAAAATAGGTTTTGTTGAGACATGGGTTACCTCTTAGCCTTAATTAATTCTCCCTTGGCTATTAAGGTTTTTCCCTAAGATTTCCATCCGTTTGATCTCCCTAGGCTTGGTGGTGGGGAGTTCCTTGGGAATTCTTGTGTGGTGATATCTATTGTGGTGTGACTTCTAGGTGCCTCCTATGTCCTTTTATATATATATATATATATATATATATATATATATATATATATATATATATATATATATATATATATATATCTAGGAGTCCTAATTAGGGTCTGAATGGTATGGGTTTACTAATTCTATTCCTTATAGGACTAAGGGCTTGGTTTAGGGATAAGGGTCCATGGTCCATGGTGGACCATATTAATTAATTAAAGGGAATCCTAACCAAATTAAATCCTTTTTATTATTATTAACGGGATTAATTAAATAATTAATTCGGGATTAAAGGCTGTACCACGGGGTGTTACACTCTTACATCCTAGGAATGGTACCTAATACATCAAACTAGACTCACATATAACATACGGGGGACAATGGGACACCACGGGACACGGGGAAACATCAAACGGGGAAAAACATCACGACTCGTACCGAATTTCCAGCGGGTGGAGGTCCACCCGCCGACTACCCGCCGGCGGCGAACCATAAGCCAGCAGGTGCTTGGGGAGCACTCGCCTGCCCGCTGGGAAGAGGGCACGGGCAGCGGGCAGGTGGCGGGTACCCCTGCCCCCACCTATCCCCCAATGACTCCTATGTAATATTCTGGTCCCGGGATCCCTTGTGGAACCCGAAACCATGTCCAGACGCATTCAAACACAAACGACGATACCACGTATTCAAGTAAAGGATTTAACCCAAGAATCACACCAAATACATCCTAACACGACTCCTAAACATGCCAAGACTCAACACCCAAACATGCAAAATCCCACCCAAACATACCAAAGTCACATAATACGAAATCCACGTTTTATTACCCTAGGGCTCTAGCCATAATTAAAACACTAGATCGTTCATATAATTTATCATAGAATCAAGAATCATCAAGATTATCACATAAGTATCAAGATCAACACATAAACCTCAAGATCATCTCATAAACACAATAGAAATCTGAAGCAAAGCTTTATCAAGACTCGAGCACAGAATCAGATATCAAGGAAGCCAATGAAGAAGATATAGCAAGGAAAATAGGTTTTGTTGAGACATGGGTTACCTCTTAGCCTTAATTAGAATCCTTGGCTACTAAGGTTCTTTCTCTAAGATCTCCTCCTCGTGATTTCTCCTACGTTTGGTGACAGGGAAATTCCTGGGAATTCTTGTGTGGGTGGAATCTATTGTGGTGGGATTTCTAGGTGCCTCCTAAGTCCTTATATATGTTTAGGAGTCCTAACTAAGATTTGAATGGTAAGGATTCACTTATTCTATTCCTTATAGGACTAAGGGTTTGGTTTAAGGATAAGGTTCCATGATCCATGGTGGACCCTTCTTAATTAATTAAGGGAATTTAAACCTCTTTTAATGGTAAGCAATTAAATAATTAGTCTGGGTTAGAGGCCGTAACACGGGGTGTTACAACAACGATTTGTACAAGATCACACCATAAGAATCAATCAAGAGATCTCAACAAAGACATGAGCAATACTCAACAACAAAGGACTACCATCTAACATCAAATGATTGACAACACGATTTGTCAACCCCAACAAGAAGGAACAAACCACACATACTAGCACAGCAACATCAAACTAGCATGCTCATCAAACGGGTAAACGAAAAATGGTTACAACGAACCTTCAAGACTCATATTAGTCCAACGAATCACAAAGTTGGACCCTTAGCACAACTCAAGACACCAAATCCTAACATGGATTCCTAACTCATCGTTCTAGACATACGAAACAACAAGAAGACTCATAAATAGCTTGATAATTCAACAACGTGAGGTCAAAACATCAATACCAAGATGAAAAGAATCACGGGGAACAAATCCCCGCATCAACAACAATTGTTCCCCGCGGGTGGGGCCACGGGTAGGCCCCCACCCGTGGGCCTTCCTGCGGGGTACATGCCCACAAACCACCTGTTCCCCGCGAGTGGGGCGGCGGGTAGGCCGCTGCCCGCCGTTCCGCCCGCGGGGTACACTACCTGTACACCAAATTCCCTTCGGGGATTTTCATCATCAAGGTCAAGTTCAAGTCCAAAACACCCAAAACCTCACACACAACAAAGATATGACTTGAACCCAAGAAATAGCCAGGCAATGGTATTCAAGAAACCTAAATACAAGCTCTAAACATGCATCATCACAAGATCATGCATCAAATATCACAAATCACATCAAGAACATCAAATAGAAGCCAATAATCATCATTTAGGTAAGAAAATAGGTTTGTATAGCATGGGTTACCTTTGTAGGTTAACAACTTCACCTTTTCACCCTCCTAAGCCACTTCTTAGAGTTTCTCTTCTCGACCAACTTCTTACACAAGCCAAAACGCAAGAAAGATTCTATCTTCGATAAAGACACCCAAAAGATGACTAAAAACACTAAAAAGCTAAGAACCTTACCCTTTCCTATGCTTGGAAAGAAGAAAGTAGGAATCTTGGAGTGGGATCTTGCAAAGCTAGAAGGTTCTCCTTTTTGCTTGAAGAATAAGCTAGGTTCTTTTTAAAGAGATGATGGAGTGTTTGGGATTTAGGCTAGTATGAGAGAATGAAAGGAATGACTTGCTAGGGATAGCTTGATCAACAATTCGGGGTGCAAGGTCACTTTTACCCTTACTAAGGTTGGAAAGACAAGAGGGTAAAGGTACAAACCATAGAGCATAAGGTACACTTGTTTGACTTAAGTGACTAGTCAAATTCTAGTTCCTCGACTATTAAATTTCAGGATTTTTAGGATGGAATTACCAAGGAAGGCTAGCGTTAATTTCTTAACTAATCCCAATTAGCATTTAGATATACGGGGTGTCACAGACCTCCCTGGCTACAAGATGAAGAGGACCCTATGATTCAGACAGAGATGCCACCTCAGTTGGCCAAAGCTAAAGAGATAAATTTAATTGATCAGGTAACGGGTAGATGGGACCATCATTTGCTCACTGATATTTTCCTACCAAATGATGTGTCTAGGATCATGAAGATACCAATTTCCCCAGATTATGATGACATGTGGTACTTGCATGGGGACCCCAAAGGGTGTTATTCTGTTAAGAATGGCTACAGGCTCATTGTTGGGAATTATGAGAATAATGTAAATAATGGTTTCACAAAATGGCTCACTCTATGGAAACTAAAAATTCCACCCAAATGGAAAACCTTTCTATGGAGAGGTATAAGTGATATCCTACCCACTACCTACAATTTTCTTATAAAGAGGGTAGAGGTTGATCCATTATGTGTCATGTGTGGGATCACCAATGAGGACACTATGCATTCATTGGTTTTGTGTGGATATGCTAAATCCATATGGACGCTATCCAACCTTCCACTCCCAAATATTGTGACAAATATTTTTCATGAATGGTTTAGTGCAATTTTAAATGTTCTAGACTCTGATGGGATTATCTACGCAGCTGCAATATTATATCATCTATGGAGAGCGCGAAATGGAGCAGTATGGGATGCATGTCTACCACTCCCAAAGAAGGTGTTAGCTATGGCCAAAGCCACCATGCGGACATGGCAACAAATCCATGCCAATGCACCAAGCCGAACACTAACCGGTCGAACCACCACCGATAATGTCCAGCAGCGCACGCCCGAGCCACAACCACCAATTGGAGATGCCGTCACTGTCCAGTCTACTTGAGCCGCTCCACCGCTGCCGGTAGCAGCACGCTACACTACCCAGCCGATTTCGGTGTCACCACCGTTGCCTTACGACCCTTTTCTCTTTTTCAATTCTTTTCATTCTCTTTTACCTTTTCGTTTTCTTTTCATTTTTATCATTCTTCTCTTTTCATTTTTTTTTGTTTTTTTTTTCATTGGCCGATTTACTTCATTTTCAAGTTTTATATTTTTACAATTTTTATTTCTTTAGTTCTTCATTTCCCAAAAAACAAATTTCTAACTTTCCATTACTCCAATCTTCCATACTCATTTTTGATAATTTTTGGATTATTTATAAATACATGAAAGTTCTAACAATAGATAGTAGAAGATGATGTGGTTACAGACGATGACTATAGAAACAGTGGGGTGTTGATAAAAGAAAAAGTTGGAGACGCTAGACAGACATAATGTTGGAAATTTTAGTAAAAATTGACATTGTGAGTAGTTGTTTTATGGTACAAATTAAATATGTTCATTTCTAATTTGGATCGGGTCAAATTATATTCATGTTATTCTAAGCGAGATGAAAAAAAAAATTTATATATTATACGCATAAAAATTCTCTTTCGTGCGCAAGGACAATTGCTATACGGTGGACCATGGTTAAAAAACGGCGTCGTTTCTTTTAGTAAAGAAACGACGACCGTTATTTTTAACAAATCCCGTATTTGTGTTGTGCTCAGAATAAAATGAAATTACAGCGTATCTAAAATAATGAAATCGAATAATATGTCTTACGTATTGAGTATATATTATCAAATGAAACTGTAGTTGAATTAAAATAATACTTTAGTTGTGATGAAATGAAACTACAATATGGTATAAATGAAACTAAATAATATGTCTCATATGTTGAGTGTATATTTTCAAATGAAACTGTAGTTAAATTGAAGTGATACTTTAGTTGTGCTGAAATGAAACTACAGTATATATAAAGTCAAACTAAATAACATGTGTTACATATTGAGTGCATATTGTGAAATGGAACTGTAGTTATATTAAAATGATATTTTAGTTGTTTTGTATTGAAACTACAATGTATATAAAATGAAATTGAATAACAGTTTCACATATTTGAGTGTATATTATCCAATGAAACTATAGTTGAATAAGAATTACACTTTAGTTTTGTTGTAATAAGACTACAGTGTATAAAATGAAATTTAATAACATGTCTAGCATATTGAGTTCGAGCTTGAATACAACCCAAGATAACTATTTCGAGTTTGAATATAGGTAGCCTCGAGTTCAAGGTCAAAATAATATAGTGGCTCCTGCTCGAGCTCGAACTTAAAATATTTAAGGTTAAGCTCTAGTTTTCATCAATTATACTTTATCTCGAGTTTTATTTGAATAAAAATCAACTTCCATCCTTAGAGTTTTTGAAATTCCCTCGTGCATTTGAATAGAAATTATAAAAAGAATTAATTCCACCAATGATCCTCCGACTATTATGATATTTTAAAATTAATTCTCGACTTTTAATTTGGACATCTTAGGTCCCTTGACTTTCAATCTCTTTCCAATAGTGGTCCTTTCATCAATATAAGGTTAATTGGAAGGGGTAAATTCGTCACTCCACTTGCATATGTATTATTGACCGTATTTTTTTTTTTTGAAATAATATTGGCCGTATTTATTTGCCTCTGTCTATACGCATAATCCCTAAAATTCAGTCTCCTAAATACTCTCCCAGTCGATCAAAGAACAATGATTTCATGATTGTGGAATGTGAAACATAGCTGCTCTTAACTCTTCAATTTTCTTGAAAATGCTATGTATATATGCATGATTGTAGGCCACTAGGAGAAGCAGATTCATTCACAATTTTAGGTTTTCAGACCATATAACATTCTTGTTTATTTGTTACAGACTATGAGAGAGAAATGCTTTGACAAGTGCATCACCAAGCCTGGGAGTAGCTTGAGCGGGGGCGAGAGCAGTTGCATCTCCAGGTGCGTTGATCGATATATTGAAGCCACCGGTATCATCAGCAAAGCTCTCTTCAGCCAGCCACGATGAAACTGTTGCCTGACTAGATTCCAACGATACGGATGATAACTTGGTTTAGATAACTTGCCGGAGGACACGTACATGAGGGTGGCCTAGACGCTGGTGCCAAATTTTAGATGATGCTCTAGCTGACATAAAAGCTTGCTGACACCGTGGTATTGTGAGTGTATATAAGCCACCCGAGGCTGGACTTTTAAGGAGCACCGCCTTGGTGATGCAATCCTTCACAACAAAAACTTTTGGGTGAAACTCAAAAAACACGTTATTATCAACTGCAAATCTATTAACAGATAATAACGGAACAAACAACTCAGGGACATGTAATATTTTAGAAAGATGAAAGTGTTTAGAAACTGAGGGTATTGAAGCGTAACAATTCGCGAGATACCCAAACCTGTCCCATTTCCAACGCGTAAGACGTCAGAGCCCGAGTAGTCATCGGATTGCGCCAACATGCCGGCGTCTGGCGTAGCGTGGGATGACACCCCGGTATCCGGGTACCACGCCGAGACCTCAGTCGCGGCAGCATCTCCATTCACGGCGACATGAGCCTGTGGTGGTGGCGGCTGATCGGAGTAGCGGCGGAAACAGTACACCGCCGTATGGCCGTGCGAACCGCAAATCTGGCAACGGGGTGTTCCACCGCCACGGCCTCTACCCGGAGCGCCTCTGCCACGTTGCCCGCCACGGTTTCCACCCCGATTGTGTCTACCACCATGATCAGTGTTGTTCCGGCGACCATGATTTGCCACCATCGCAGTCGCACCACCAGGAGCTAGCGATCCGCCGGTAAGATAGTCATTCGCATGGATGAACTCTTGCGTTTGGAGGTAATCCGAGAGCTGGGGAAGAGATACTGGCGTGCCGGTGATGGCAAGAGATCCAGCCATGGCACGGAACTCAGGCCGGAGTCCTCGGAACACGTATAGATTCTGTTCGTCTAAAGAGATGGGGCGGCCTGCCTGAGCCAAATCTTCGACAAGGAGCTGGGTCTTGCCAATGTATTCGGCCGGAGTGGAGTCGCCTTGCCGGAGTGCCTGGAGGCGGCCGAGCAGGTTCAAACAGCGAGCACGGGTGGAGGAAGCCAACGCCGTCTCGATTAACGTCCAGAAGTCGCGGGAGGTGGTCTTGCCGACGGCAAGGTACATGACCTCCTCCGACAAAGATGATATGAGGAGAGAGAGGATGCTTTGATCCTGCTGGATCCACTGCCCATGCGCCGGATTAGCGGTGGTGGAGGTAGCCTCGTCGGACGGCGTCCCGGTCGTGGAAGCCATGCGCACCGGCGGTGGGCACAGATGCGTACTGTCGATGTAGCCAAGCAGTCCCTGGCCACGAAGGAAAAGGATGAGCTGCGTCCGCCAAAATAAATAGTTTTGTGTCGTCAGTTTCATCAACACGAAATGGTGAGCGGAAGTGAGATGGTTGGGACCGGCGGCCGGAGGTTAGCCGGCGGGGGTGGCGGACACGGTGTGTTCCAAGGAGTGGTTTGTGTTTGTTGCCATCGGAGAGAGAAAAAAGAAGGACCTATCACTATGATACCAGATGAGAGAATGATTCAATTGATTGAACTAACTGAACAATCAAGTTACAATACAGATAATAAGAGATGACCTATAATCTAGGCTAAGGAACAGATAACTAACTTAGACTAATACAAAGTCTAATCATAATAATAATAACAATAATAATATATCTAACATTCACCACTTTGAATATTGTTCAATTTGAGGATAATATGCAGTTCTCTGAACTCTACCTTTGTCAGATAATTCGACAATATTATCACTACTGGAAATTATGGAATTTCCGACCACTTGAAAGAGATGTTAACTCAAGTCGAAAGTCTTGATCCGACCACTTTGATATCCGGAAAAATCTTTGTTGCTATTTCCGACCACTTTTTACTTTCAACTTGATTTAAGATCACTTTCAGGTGGTCGGAAATTCCATAATTTCCAGTAGTGTATTATTATTCAAATAATCAATTAAAATACAATTGAAAAATTACAGGTGTTTACTTTAATCCAAACTAAACTCTAAAACAACTAATATCTCTGTCAATTTTGTTCTCTCTAATGTACTTCAAAAGCAAAAATGCATTAATCCTGGGTGCTCACAGGAGATGACCCTCCACCCTTCCCTAAATCATATCCTTGTCTCTGTGACTCTCTTTCAACTTCAGCCATCATATTTACTGCTTCAAGGTCTGTAGTATGTACTCGGCATAAAGATCTCTGTAAAGACAACAAAACACAACAGTATATATATACATATGATGTGCAAGAATCTAAGGCATATGAGAAACAAGGAATCTTATCTGTGTCTTACATTGAGTACTGGATAGCATCCACAGCTTTACCAAAGGGAGAAAATCATAGACAAGGGCAAAGAAATACGGCCAATATTATTTCAAAAAAAAAATAAAATACGATCAATAATACATATGCAAGTGGAGTGACGAATTTACCCCTTCTAATTAACCTTATATTGATGAAATGACCACTATTGGAAAGAAATTGAAAGTCAAGGGACCTAAGATGTCCAAATTAAAAGTCGAGGATTAATTTTGGAAAATCATAATAGTCGGAGGGCCATTGATGGAATTAACTCTTATAAAATGTACAACATATAGAAATTCTGAAAGTATCATATATCCTCTCTAATATCTCTCCAATAATAATAATAATAATAATAATAATAATAATAATAATAATAATAATAATAATAATAATAACAAACATACAAAAAAGTGAAAGAAAAAAAACTTTAAAAGTGCACATAAGAGATTATAATTTTAAACAATACAAGATTAAATTGATTGATTGTGTAGTATATGAATTAAATTATTTGAACATCTTTACAATAAATATATAGACTAATGAGATATTTAAACATAATGTTGTTGAAAGCTTATTATATTCCAAAAAAGATTACAGATTACAAAAAATCTGAAGAGTCGTAGGAGGACTTGATTCTGTATGGTCAACTTTGTCAAAAACACATGTTATTTCCTCTGCCATTTTCCTTGAACAAGTATGCAGTGTTTATTGGAAAAAAAGTTGGCTTTAGACAATAGCATTTACAGATGTAGGATAAAGCTTATCAATACCCGTGTGGACAAGATTGCAAGAGATTAGTTCTCAAGGTTCATTGGTTACATGCCATTTCAACTGGGCATATATAGGACCCAAAGTCACTCACAGTTGTTAAAAGGTTGGAATTTTATACTCTCTTTGTCTCATTTCGACTCATTGCTAATTTTCTTTAGTAATTTTTAATTATTGTAAATTTAATTTTTATATTTAATAGTATTTTTAATTTAATTTTTAAATATATATATTTTATATAATAATATTAAATTAATATTATAAAAAATTGAATTAAAAATTATTTCATTTAAATCCCGTTAATTGAATCAGACAAATAAAATGAGACGGAAGGAGTATATATTATGAAATACATACAATGAATATATTGTGATAAGACAAATGGTGAGGATAGAAGTTGATGTCTGTAACACCATTTTGCCCGCATTGCACGCTACTACCATTCCCTAATTAATCCCTACCATGTCGACAGGTTTCATTGGAGTCAATGAACTGTCATTAGTCAAAGTGGTATGCTCATAAATCACAAACATACGGAATATTAGATACAATTTTTCGTGTAGGTGAAAACTACATAAAAGAATTGAGACAGGAAAAAAAAAATAGAATGGTTACAGTAAGATGGGATTGTTATTCCATTCTTCATTTTAAATAATAATAATTTCACATATCTAATTATATAATACTCTCTATGTCTCATTTTATTTATCGTATTTACTATTCATTGGTTAAATCAATTAAAAATAATTTCACATATTTTCTCCATATGTTTTCTCTATATTTTTTTTTTTCATATACTCATTAGTTTAACATTGTGTTGGCTAGTATGTGTTAGAAATAATTATTTCCTAACATTGATTTATATAATAAAGGTTGTAATTTCATAAGGTACTGACCGCGATGATTAGCTAGTGATGTGTAAAGACGGAATTACTAGGTGAAATTCCCTCCCTATCATTCTATTAAAATTTAAGTTTATAAGGGTCAAAAGATGTATGTCGGGAAAGGTTATGGGTTTCCTAAAGGAGGCTTCACAATCCTAAAGTGATTTCTATTCCTAAAAGGAGGTTTCACATCCTTAAAGAGATTTCTATTCCTAAAAGGAGGTTTTACATTCTTAAAGGGATTTCTATTCCCAAAAGGAGGTTTCTCATTCCTCTTGAAAGAGGGTTTATCAGCACATCTATAAATACGAGGAAAACTTTAGGGATGATGAAGTTTTCTAGTCTCTAAATTTTCTAGTCTAATATGATTAGGATGTGATTAAGGCATACAGATCAGATATGTGAAGCATTCTATATATTTATTCAATTTAGAGTTTGAATCTCCAACAGAATCAAGTAAGTTTTATCTCTTTTTTTATTTTTTTTATTTTTTTTTATTTTATTTCATTAAAAAATACATGATCATGAACAATGTTTAGTTAATTGATTTGATTTACATGCGATTCCTTGTTAATTATGCTTCTGCATTCAAGTTATAGCGCATAAAGGATGATTTAACATTTGATATTAGAGCCTGCTTATAAATTGAATAATCACTAAATTATGGTTCATGATTGTGACACCCCAAAAATCCACATTTCAATCCATGAATTAATTGAGTAATTAATTCTATATCTTTTGAGGACCTAATTCCTATAATCCTGATTTTTAATACTCAAGGACTAGAATTTGACTAGTCAACCTTTAAGTTGTTTTGTACCTTGTGCTTTGAGGGGAGTTCCCTTGTTCCTTACACTTTCTAAGGGTTAGTAAGGGTATTCTTGTCTTTTCACCAAGAGTTAGTATTGTAACCTAACCTAGAAGACTTCTTCATTTCATTCCTTACAATTCCTAGAAAAATATCTCCACCTTCTCTCTAGAAAAGAAGTGTAGCTTATTCTCCAAGCCAAGTAAAGACCCTTGTTAAGATTTCATGTTTTGCTTCCAAGATTCAACCTTTCACCTATTTGGGCATCTAGGAGGGTAAGATCTAAGTTCATCTTGTGTTTTTGGTTCCATCTTAGTTGTCTTTTTCTTAAAGGTAGGATCTTTATGATCTTTTGGTTTAATCTTGAAGTGGGTTTGGAAAGTGAGCCTTGTGGAGAGCTTGTTGTGGTGTAAAGTGAAGTCTTTTGGTCTTCAAGAGGTAACCCATGCTCTACAAAACCTATTTTGCTTACCTATATGTAATTTCTTGGATTCTACTTGTGTTTTGCTATGAAATGTGAGGGTTTATGCATTTATCTTGTGATATTGCATATCTAGAGCTTGTGTTTAGGGTTCCTTTGTGCCATTGCTTGGAATTTTCCATGGTTCAAGTCATTTTGTTGTGTTGGGTGAGATTTGGCATGTTTTGGACTTGAATTTGTGTTTGGAGAAGAAAATCCCCGAAGGGATTACTTGTGGAACAGGAGTGTTCCCGCGGGCGGAACGGCGGGCGGGGCACCACCCGCCGGCCTACTCGCGGGTACACAGCCTCGTGGGAAGTGTTCCCGCGGGCGGAACCACGGGTGGGGCACTACCCGTGGGTCCACCCGCGGGTACATGGTTGTGGTGATGATGGGATTTGTTCCCCGTGATTCGTTTGTCTCGGTATTTGATCTTTTGGCTTCCCGATGTTCTTTTGTGGAACTATTTGAGTGTCTTCTTGATGTTTCGTAGGTCTAGAACTATATGGTAGGTATCCATGTAGGACTTTGGTGTCTTGAATCGTGCTAAGTGTTCAACATTGTGTTTCGTTGGACCAAGAGGTGTTTGTGTGTTCCTCGGAACTATCTTGAGTTTTCCCGTTGATAAGCATGCTAGTTTGTTGTCTTAATGCTAGCGTGTGAGTTGTTTGTACCTTCCGATGGGTTGATGATAACTTGTGTTATTCATCGTTGATGTTGTTGGGCTGTGACCCATTCCTTGATTGAGTATGTTTCATACCTTCGTTGCAATCCGTTGATTGATTCCTGTTGAGGTGTGGCGTGTGTGGCTTTACTTGGATTGCACGATTAGTGGTATGGGACACTAGTCACCAAGGTATTGCAGCGGTCCTCGTGGTGGCCGTGACGTGATTATGGAGTTGTGACCTGTGTGTCAGGTTCACGTATTTTCTTGGGAAGGCGTGTGTCGCCGTGTGTGTGTACGGTACCCTCGTGTACTATGAAATTGGTGGCTTTGTTGGTGGGGGATGACGGT